GATATTTTATGACACTTTAAGGATATTTTATGACACTTTAAGGATATTTTGGGATATTTTGGAACACTTTAAGGATATTTTGGGTAAATTTTAGGATATTTTGGCTCTCACCGAGGCCCTGGCCAGGAAGCAGGGGCACCTGAAAATGTTCTATGGCACTTTAGGGATATTTAAGGATATTTTACGACACTTTAAGGATATTTTGGGATATTTTGGAACACTTTAAGGATATTTTGGGATATTTTGGAACACTTTAAGGATATTTTAGGGTAATTTTGGGCTGTTTTGGCTCTCACCGAGGCCCTGGCCAGGAAGTAGGGGCAGCTGGGGATGTTCTGTGGCACTTTAAGGATATTTTGGGATATTTTGGAATACTTTAAGGATATTTTGGGATATTCTATGACACTTTAAGGATATTTAGGGATATTTTGGGATACTTTAAGGATATTTTAGGATATTTTATGACACTTTAAGGATATTTTGGGTAAATTTTGGGGTATTTTGGCTCTCACCGAGGCCCTGGCCAGGCAGTAGGGGCAGCTGGGGATGTTCTATGGCACTTTAAGGATATTTTATGACACTTTAAGGATATTTTGGGATATTTTATGACACTTTAAGGATATTTTGGGATATTTTATGACACTTTAAGGATATTTTGGGATATTTTATGACACTTTAAGGATATTTTAGGGTAATTTTGGGCTGTTTTGGCTCTCACCGAGGCCCTGGCCAGGAAGCAGGGGCAGCTGGGGATGTTCTGTGGCACTTTAAGGATATTTAAGGATATTTTATGACACTTTAAGGATATTTTGGGATATTTTGGAACACCTAAGGGATATTTTGGGTAAATTTTAGGGTATTTTGGCTCTCACCGAGGCCCTGGCCAGGAAGTAGGGGCAGAGGCCGCGCTGCCGCCCGAGGCTCCGCAGATCGTCCAGGTTGTGAACCCCGAAGGGGAGGGGGCTCTGCCGGCCCCGCGCCTCGAACTCCTGGGGGGAGAAAAATGGGGCTGGGGGCTTCGAAAATGGGAATGGGGGATCCAAAAATGGGAATTGGGGCACAGAAATGGGGCTGGGGGCTTCGAAAATGGAGCTGGGGGCTTCAAAAATGGGGCTGGGGACTTCCAAAAAGGGAATTGGGGCACAGAAATGGGGCTGGGGGCTCCAAAAATGGGAATTGGGGCTT